CAAGATCAAGAGTGTGATTAAAACAGTGAGTGGGTTTATTTAGTTTGAGAGAAGCCAACTGAGTCTAATAATGAACAGAATGCATTGTTGAGGCTGTCATTGTCGGCATCTACATGAATATTAAAGTCGCCTACTATGATTATTTTATCTGTACTAAGCACTAAATCAGACAGAAAGTCTGAGAATTCACTTAAAAACTCTGAATAAGTAGCAGGTGGACGGTATACAATAACAAACAGAACAGGCTTTTGAGTTTTCCAGTTTGGGTGTGAGAGACTCAGGGTGAGATTTTCAAATGAGTTATAACTATGTTTAGGTCTAGGGTTGATTAATAGGCTTGAGTCAAAGATCGCTGCCACGCCACCACCTCGGCCTGTGTTTCGACGGCTTTGACAGTTATTGTGACTAGGTGGAGTGGATTCATTTAGGCTGACATATTCTTCCTGCTGTAACCATGTTTCAGTAAGACACAATAAGTCAATATGATGTTCACTTATCAAATCATTCACTAACAGAGATTTAGATGAGAGAAATCTGATATTTAATAGTCCACATTTGATTGTCCTATTACTTTCTACTATAAGAGGAGTCATCTTAATTTTAATTAGGTTCTTATGAATAACTCCTCTGGAGTTGAATCTTGATTTATATAATTTAGGTGGGCGGGGGGCAGACACAGTCTCTATGGGGTACTTGGAGCGTTGGGTGGGTAGCAGCTGCAAGGAGACAGCAGAGAGGCATGTAAGACTGCGACCCTGCATCCTGGACTCAACTCTGGGTTGTCATAATTTAGGTTGTAAAACAAACTCATCCAGATTTCTAGATAAGAGAGCCGCACCACCCAAAGTGGGATGGATGCCGTTTCTGCTAATCAGGCCAGGTTTTCCCCAAAATGTTTTCCAGTTATCTATGAAGCCCACGATATTTTCTGGGCACCACCTAGACAGCCAGCAGTTGAATGATGACATGCGGCTAAACATGTCATCACTGGTCACATTGGGTAGGGGTCCAGAGAAAACTATGGAGTCCGACATTGTTTTAGCAAAGTTACACACCGACTCAACATAACTCAAGGGTTCACATACTTTTTCCACCAGCACTAGGAGGTTTTTATGGTTATTCTCAATAAAGACATGAAAGATCAGAATTTTTTTGTGTTGTTATATTAGGCACATTAATATGACATTATATTTGGCAGTAGCCTTGACTTAGAATGGCCACTTTTGTGCACCCACAATGTTTATAAATGGGGCCCCCTGAATCTTCCTGCCTATAGTAGGTTACCTCCTCTTTCCATGTTAAGCCTTTCCTGACATTTCAGCAGTAGTCCTGGCTCACTTTAGTTAGAACCTGACTCACCACCTGCCTCTACACCTTCCCCTTATTTCCTCAGCAACCCCAGCAGACTGTAGCCAGTCTACCTCCAACTCAGTCACTCTCTGTTTACCTCAGTTCTGGCTTTGTGCCCTTGTCCCTGCCTCATTCCCTCGGTTGTGCCTAACCTAAATGCTCACTAAACTGTTTTACCACCACCTTCTCTTTTTGTGAAGGAGGTCGGTTTGGTTGACCCGTTAAACAAGTGAGGTATAACAGTTATTTGACTGGGACAAGATGAACTAAAGGCTGTTTAAAACAATTAGCATGTAGTAATGTAAAACCATTCTGACAGAAGCATTTAGACTTTAACAGTCCAAACACAGAACTCTCCTGAAAATGAAGCAAAACTCACCTGTTTGCATCAGTGCTATAGACGACTAATCTAAAATAGTCTATGATATTCATTTACAGGGCCATGCACCAGAGTCTAAAACCTACAGTACAGTTTCACCACCTAACAGTTGTTACATGTGACAGCTGCTGTTGAGGCTGTGTATACTGCAACATGTAGCAACATACTGTGACACTGCTGAGACACTGTAGATGATAAAAATGCAGGTCACACCACAGACAGCAGCCTGTCTTGATGTCAGGACAGATAAAGGCTTTGCTGATGTTGATTTGCTCTATGCTGTGGCCACACAGAGACAGAAACTAAATAAAGGGTGTGAGATCAGCATTTCTTACAGGAACAGAGGAGTTCTGTAACAATTTTAAGGTGGTAAAACCTCACTGATCTTATCGCAACAAAACGCCGTGTGGTGTACGCTAATTTTCTGCTGGGACTGTTGCACATCTTCTGATTATCAGAAGTGCTGATTCAAATCCCTTTATGCTGTGTTTACACATTTCTCACCAATCTGTCCCATGACACAGAATCACTACTCATTATATGGTGTATCATATTCAAATGTGCTTGAAGGTATTCCTTAAAATCCCATATTATTCATGTGTTTATAAGCCATGACTCGGACTGGTAAGTTTGCTAATGTCTGTTCAATTCTGAGATACTGATGGACATTTATGAGTCAGTTCTCTAACCTCGTGACTGTTCTTTAACTTTTATTACATTATCTTTTACCATGCGCAGTAATTCTCTAATTCAAACTTAAACCTTTATGTTTTAAAAGAGTTCCCTGACAAGTCAAATCAAATCAAATCAAATTTTATTAGCGCCAAATCACAACAAAAGTCATCTCAGGACACTTTACAAAGCCAGGTCTAGACCTTACTGTTATCAATATTATTACATAGGGAAAACCCAACAAATCCCCCCTGAGCAGCACTTGGCGACAGTGGGGAGGAAAAACTCCCTTTAATGGAAGAAACCTCTGACAGACCCCGGCTCTTGGTGAGCGGCCTTCTGCCTCGACCAGTTGGGCTGAGTGAATAGAGGAGAGAGAAAAGAAGAAAAGCAACAGGACACAACAAACAACAACAAACAATCACACACTGGTCAAGTTGATGTGGCCGGTGACTGCTCATCAGAAACATAGAGCTCCAGGGCCAGGGCAACTTGCAGAAAGGTACAGGGAGAGAGAGAGGACACACTACAAGAGAGAGGAGACACAAAGTTAGTGATGTGTAATGGTGGCATATAGAAGCATAGGGAGAGGAAAGGAGAGGGGAGGAGAGAAACTCAGAGCATCATGGGGCCCCCCAGCAGCCTAAAAGGCTCAGGGTCACCTGATCCAGCCCTAACTATAAGCTTTATCAAAAAGGAAAGTCTTAAGTCTACTCTTAAAGGTAGAGAGGGTGTCTGCCTCTGAACTAGAACTGGGAGTTGGTTCCATAGGAGAGGAGCTTGATAGCTAAAGGCTCTACCTCCCATTCTGCTTCTGTGGACTCTAGGAACCACAAGTAGACCTGCACTTTGAGAGCGAAGTGCTCTGTTGGGATGATAAGGCTCTACAAGGTCTTTAAGATATGATGGAGCCTTGTCATTAAGGGCTTTGTATGTTAGGAGAAGGATTTTAAATTCTATTCTGAATTTTACAGGGAGCCAGTGGAGAGAAGCTAATATGGGAGAGATATGATCTCTCTTGCTAGTTCCTGTCAGTACTCTGGCTGCAGCATTTTGAATTAACTGGGGGCTTTTTTATGGAACTATTGGGACATCCTGATAGTAAGAATTTACAGTAGTCCAGCCTGGGAGTAACAAATGCATGGACCAGTTTTTCAGCATCACTTTGAGACAGGATGCTCCTGATTTTTGCAGTATTGCACAGGTGAAAAAAGGCAGTTCTAGAGACTTGGTTTATGTGTGATTTAAATGACATATCCTGGCCAAAAAAGGCTCCAAGGTTTCTCATAGTAGTACTGTATGTGAGAACTATGTCATCTAAAGTAACTATATGATTAGATAGCAGATTTCTAACATTTTCAGGCCCAAGCACAATGACTTCAGTTTTGTCAGAATTTAGAAGTAAGAAGTTACAGGTCATCCAGGCCCTTATGTCTTTAAGACATGCTTGAAGTTTGACCAGCTGATCTTCCTGATAATATTGCCTAAAGGGAGCATGTATAAAGTGAAGAGAACTGAACCTAACACAGAGCCCTGTGGAACGCCGTGACTAACTTCAGTTTGTGTGGAACATTTGTCATTAACATGAACAAATTGAAATCTTTCTGATAAATAAGATTTGAACCAATTTGTTCAAGTCTCTGCAGCAAGATGCTGTGATCAATGGTGTCAAAAGCAGCACTGATATCTAAGATGTCAAGTATGGAGACAAGTCCTTTATCTGAGGCTAGGAGTCAAGTCAAACTATCTGCTGTGAAAAACGACTATACTGACAAAGTCTGAGAGCAACAGTGCTTCTTGAATTTGATGTTATTTTTGGGTGTGATCACAAATGCGATGTGTCATTTTCCTGCGGTTGTAGACATAATTAACTAGTTTATTATTAGCGGCTAAGAGTTTCTAGTTTGCAGAGATAAAATAAGACAAAGCTCACGAGAAAGAAAGCTTTGAAAAATTTCCTTTAAATGCCTACAAGGTTTACATTTTCCTGACAAGGGAACTATTTGGAGGTGTAATAATGATTGTTCTCTCTGAATGACAAAGGTAAAAGTAGTGTGACCATAATATAAAGCACATTCCCAAAGAAAGATAGAGTGCTGGGTGAGTGTACAATGTGTAGGACAGAGAGAGCAATCCACTGTTAACACTGGTTCTTTTTATCCATAAAAGCTTTTTAACAGTCATAATAAACATAAATATTTAAACTAAACCATACCTTTACTTCACATTTTAGATTTTAGGACACTTATTGATTCACTGGGGTGAAATAAATTCTCATGTTTATCCAGACTGTTGGAGCTGTAATCGGTCACTGACTAAACTACATCTCATAGTTCGTAAAGGATGATGAAACATCGTCTGACCGAGTCAGTACATCATCCGTAACATACCATTTCCAGAGCCACGTTAGCTGTGTGTTCACTTTGCAAATAAAGATGATTCTGATTCTGATGCTGAGCACAGAAAAAAACACACATGCCACTCATGTAGTTCTTTTACAGCACTGAAGGTTTTATTAAAATACATATGAAAATATATGTTTATAACTATGAGCCTGAAAAACCAGGCATTCATGTAATAAACATTATACAATAATAGATTAGTGGGCCTGCCCACTGCCCTCAATGTTGTGGAACTTATTGTAGACATCCAGAGCCTGCTTGAAAGTTTCTCTGTAGCAGATCTGTATTCCTTTTACAGTCGTGACTCTGTAGAACATACAGAGGAGAAAACTCAGTTCATCCACCTTCTTCTGTTTCAATGAAGGAGTCATTAATTATTATGGAGCCTCTGGTTTTATGATAAAGTCCTTCTGGTGGTCACAGACACTCCCTGTTTCTAGCCCTCATTTCATGACCAGCTACAAAAACTAAATAAACCAATAAGGCAGAAGAATGAAACTTACATGAACCCCTTCTTTACACAGGAGTGGTGGGTCTTCTTTATGTCAGCCACAGACTTCACTGGCACACGTTTTGTCGAAAACTTGAAGCAGCAGCTTCCAGGAGCAACGCTGTAGAGTGCTGGAGCTGTTCGGAAGGTAAATTAATGAAGTCAGTACAAACGTCAGTGAGAAACAAACACACCGGGGCCCAAACAGAGACCACTCACTCATGGCGTTGCAGCAGCACACGGCGAGCAGCAGCAGGCTCAGAGTCAGGTACAGAGTCTTCATGATGCTGATAATGGTGTCACTCGCCCTCTCTCTGTCTTAGCTCTGCATCCAATATAAAGCCTGTCTACTGTGGAATCGAGATGGGTTTGACATCGGGTTTTTCATCCAGAATTAATCTTACCACGAAACATCAGGGCAGAATTTCCCCACCTGTCATCAGCTTTCCACTGCTGCTGTCTTGTTAGTGGGAGGGGATTTACAGTCAAGGGACAGGCCACAGTCCTACAGACAACGGAAATATCTGTTTAATACTTATTTTTACACCTTTGTTTATTTTTATTTAGTGAATCACACACTTTCATTACACACTTCTGCAAGTACAAAGAACACACAAAGAACAGAAACAAAGTTTGCTGTTAGTTTTCTCATAACATGAGCTTTGGACATCTTTACCTTTTTTACAAGTCCAGAGGCAGATACCAGCTGTGATAAGACACTGCTGCTGATGGTAACATGTAATGAATGGATTCTAATTTAATAATCTTTCTGTAGTTAATATGGTTATTTACTGGGTAGATAGATATATTTTATTTGTAGCAAACACTGATTTATATTACCTCCAAAACTTGACACTGTAAAATTATATGTTACAGCCACAGTCTAGACTACAGCCCGTGATTCCAACCAAGGCTGAATGACTAAAAAGGCAAAGCAAGCAGCTGTCCCAGGGCCTGTGAGCTCCAGTTTTACTGTGGGTCAGCTGATTTCTGCAAATTTGATTGAAAATTTGTTTTTGAATATGCTCCATATGCTAAACAGCCCTAAGATAGGTCCTGCTTAATAACTTGATGATTGAAGCCCGGTCAGTAAGAGAGGACCTGCAGTACCTGTTTGAAGATATTCATTATCAAAGTTTGCTGTACATTTAATTGTCATACTTTCATAGACTAGGAGTTTTTTCACCATCCAGAGCTTAAGTAGCTAATAGGCTGGACAGTCAACTAACTGGTTTTCCGTTGAATAGTCTGACCTCCCAAAAACAGCCAGTTCAATTTGTTATTGTTATTGTTTGTCCACTGGCTCCTTATTCAGGGTTTTTAACTGGATTCTCAGACTTTCTGTCTGATTTAGTGCTTAGTACAGATAAAATAATCATAGTAGGCGACTTTAATATTCATATTGATGCCGACAATGACAGCCTCAACAATGCATTCTGTTCATTATTAGACTCAATTGGCTTTTCTCAAACTGTAAATAAACCCACTCACTGTTTTAATCACACCCTGGATCTTGTTCTGATGTGTCATCAAAACTGAAAACTTAATAGTTTTTCCTCAAAACCCTCTTCTCCCTGACCATTTTCTAATAGCGTTTGAATTTACATTAATGGATTATACTCTATGTGGGAAGCAATTCCACTACAGTAGATGTCTATCCGACAATGCTGTTACCAAGTTTAAGGAAATAATTCCATCTTTATTTACTTCAGTGCCATTTGCCAGCACAGTGGAGGGAGGCCACCTTAACTTTACTCCCACACATGCACCCTGCACATGCACCCTCCCGCCTGCCCCTAACGAACTGGCAGGAGGGAGACGCCAGAGCTCTGGTTAAGAGCAGTGGTGATAATTGCATGCACCTGTGCCCGCAGACGCACCTGGCTGCTTGTCTTAATTATCAGGTCGGGGAGGAAAGCATCTCTCAGCCAAAGACCTGGATCAGGTGACCCTGAGCCTTCCCTTATGCTGCTATAGGCCTAGACTGCTGGGGGGGGGCATGATGCTCTGAGTTTCTCTCCACTCCTCTCTCTGCATGCATCTATATGCCACCACTACCTGTCACTAACTGTGTCTCCTACCTCCCATAGTGTGTCCTCTCTCTCTCCCTGTACCTTTCTGCAAGTTGCCCTGGCCCTGGAGCTCTACATCTCTGATGAGCAGTCACCAGTCACATTGACCTGATCAGTGTTTGATTGTTGTGTCTTGTTGCTTTTCTTCTTTTCTCTCTCCTCTATCCATTCACCCCAACCGGTCGAGGCAGAAGGCCGCCCACCAAGAGCCGGGGTCTGTCAGAGGTTTCTTCCGTTAAAGGGAGTTTTTCCTCCCCACTGTCGCCAAGTGCTGCTCAGGGGGGGTTGTTGGGTTTTTCCTCTCTAATAATAATAGAAAGGTCTAGACCTGGCTTTGTAAAGTGTCCTGAGGTGACTTTTGATTTGGCCTATGCAAATAAAACTGTATTGAATTCATTGACAAAAATATTTTATTTTGAGAGCTAAACTAAGGATTTTGAGAAAGTGATGTGCTTTTGCAGGTAGTCCACTGTGGTGCTGTTTGGAGCAATGCTCTTATTGTTTGGCAAATATCAAGGATGATTTGAGAAATGTACCAAACTGACTAAGTGTAAATTAAGTTTTTAGATAAACTGACATCCTAGAGTACATTGTTTGAGAATTAAAACTCTTACAGATTATTTTTTTGTTTGTTTGTTTTTGAAGAACCCATTCATGGTGGAAACGTTTTGTGTCTCTAATACATATTACGTTAAGCCATAGTGCTGATGTACACTTACATGCTTCTTTGTACCAAGTCTGGTATAAAATGGCTTCAACAGCCACCAGTGAAGGTTTTTCGTGTCAAGTGGCACTCTAAGGAATGTAAAAGGAAAGTAAATTGTCTGCAGTGACTGTCCATTTGATGAAACCTTTCAGTCAACTTAATATCTTTAATTTGTTACATTTGTTTTCTTACATTTAGCTAATTTAACTGAGTTTTACATTTTCAAAACTCAGCAGCACTTCTTTAGCTTGTCTTTGCATAAATTGCAGCTTTTTAAGATTTGCCTTTGTTTCCCACCATGACAGAATAAGGCAAATGAGTAAGTGCTTACAAGCTGTTAAAAACTAAGGCCAAGCAGTGAGAAGCCCAAGCCAATTATTACCAGGCATATCTGTCCTCCAGCTCAGTCACGTGAACACAGTGTGACTTATTCGACACAATCACAAGAGAAATGATGTTTTTAAAAGGGAGTAAGAAATGCATGGCAGGGCATAGCATCACTTGTGACATTGTAAGAGAAGATAAGATAAGACTGTATTAATTCCACAATGGGGAAATTCCTGAGTAGCTGGTTTACTTGATTGTTTTAAAAGATTTGCCAGTGTACTTTTTGTTTAAAGGTGCAAAGCAATGTGTCATCAGGATCTTTATCTGATGTGTTAGATGATTCACTTCCCCTAATGCAGATATGTGGTGCAGACTTAAATATAGAATAGTGTGCTGTTCACAAGATCTTATCAGCTGCTTTCATATGTGTATACCAGCCCAGGTTTCCCACCCCATCAGTTTCCTCATCATCATCTCTAGTTGATCATCTTTGTCAACAGTCTGCCACATAGCTTTGTATATAAGGCATTATATATATAAATTCCTAATCAAAGAAACCGTGCATTTGGGAAGCATGTTTGTGGTGCAGTGGGCTGATATTTCAGAATATACTAAAGCAGATATAAACCCAATTCCAAAAGAGTTGGGATGCTGTGTAAACTGTAAATAAAACTGAATGCAATGTTTAGAAAACCCTCTTAATCCCATCTTCATTTGGTAACAGATATCTGATGGTCAAATTAATTTTGGCTTAGATAAGCTTACTATGAATTTGATGCCAGCAACACATAAAAAAAAAGCTGGGAAGGGGCAACAAAAGACTGGAAAACTTGTGTAATAATAAAATACTGACATACATAAACACTTAATGGAAACCTTACAACTGCTTAGGTTAATTGGCCTCAGGTCAGTATCATATTTCAGAAGTTAGGATGAGATGAGAGGAGCCAGCTGAGGTGGCTCGGGCATCTGTTTTGGATGCCTCCTGGGCGCCTTCCGGGCATGTCCCACTGATAGGAGGCCCCGGGGAAGACCCAGGACACGCTGGAGGGACTATGTCTCTTGGCTGGCCTGGGAATGCCTCGGTATCCCCCTGGAGGAGCTGGAGGAAGTGTCTAGGGAGAGGGAACTCTGGGCATCTCTGCTTAGACTGCTGCCCCTGTGACCTGGTTCCGGATAAGCGGAGGAAGATGGATGGATGGATGGATGGATGGATGAGATGAGGTTCACCACTCTGTGTGGCAAATAATGCAGCAAAATAATGTTTCTCAGTGTAAATTTGCAAATATGTTGGTGTTTTCATCATCTTCAGTACAGAACATAATTAAAAGATTCAGAGAATCTGGAGAATTAATCTAGCCACAGGGGTTGCAAGCCAGTGACTTCTGTGCCGGTCCCAAGCCCGGATACGGATAAATAGAGAGGGTTGCGTCAGGAAGGGCATCCGGCGTTAAAAACATGCCATATTTAAACATGCAAATCATCAGTGTGAATTCCATACTGGATTGGTCGAGGCCCGGGTTAACAACAACTGCCACCAGTGCTGTTGACCTACAGGGTGCTGGCAGAAATTGGACTACTGTTGGTCGAAGAAGGAGTAGAGGAAGAAGGATTTGTAGACAAAGAGAGAACAGGAAAGGCA